TATTTGAAGAGGAAAAGGCTGCAAATTTTCAAAAGCTAGTTTTTTTTTTAAAAAAAAGAAACTGATACAAGAAGCACAATATATTCACAGTAAGAGGTTTACAAAAGGATTTCATTTAACTAAAATACATTGTAGTGCAAACTAGAGGATGCCAATGACAAATAGAAAACTTTAAAACTAGATGGGGGAAAGGACCAGTCCCTTCAAAACAATAAACATGAAAATAACAACAAGCTTCAAAAGCAACAATGGAGGGGCTGGCCCATGGCTCACTCGGGAGAGTGCGGTGCTGATAACACCAAGGCCACGATTTTGGATCCCATATAGGGATGGCCAGTTAGCTCACTGGCTGAGCGTGGTGCTGATAACACCAAGTCAAGAGTTAAGATCCCCTTACCAGTCATCTTTAAAAAAAAAAAAAAAAAAAAAGCAACAACGGAAATTGAGAACACAACAGAATAATATACAACAGAATAATATCTCCCGGGAGTTGCAAAAACTGTATTTCAGACTTCAAACATTCCTCTCTCAGCAACAGACAGGAAAAGTAGACAAAAAAATTAGTAAAGATGGAGAAGACCAGAACCACACTGTCAACCAACTTGACCTAACTAATGTTTATATAATACTCCATTCAAAAACAGGAAAATATACATTCTTTTCCAGTGCACAAGAACATTCAACAAGAGAGACCATATTCTAGGCCAGAAAACAAACTGAAAAGAAATTGAAATCATACAAAGTGTTTGAGCATAACAAAATAAAACTGGAAACCAACAATAGACAAGTATCTGGAAAATTCGCAAATGCTCTGAAATCAAACAACAAACTTCTAAAGAATCCATGGGTCAAAGAGGAAGCCACAGGGGAATTTTTAAATGTTTTAATTGAATTAAAATGAAAACATGACATCATCAAAATTTGTGGGTTACAGATAAATCAGTGTTTAGAGGGAAAGTTATAGCATTAAATATATTTTTTTTTTTAAAAAAAAGGGTCTGAAACTAGTGATATAACTTCCATATTAAGAACTTTAATAAAGAACAAATGAAATCCAAAGCAAGC